AGACCAAGAGTGCTGTGGAAAATCGATCCAGCTTGCCCAGTGGGGACGCGACAGGTCCCTGGTCCCTTTGTTTCAGTTCGTTAAATGATGTTCAGAACGGCACTGGATTTGAATGGTGGGTTCACAGCCGCGGTTCTGCCTTGTAGGGCTATGGCCTGAAAACGAGAATAAGTGTTTGGTCACCTCAAAGGTCGCTAGAATAGATCCCTTTGTATCCTCTCATTCTGAGAGTCTATGGAAGCGCCAAAGATCACCACCACCTTGCAGATGCACAAGAAACAACATATCATGTGACCAAAGAACGGTCTTTCGCCACCAAGTCTCCAAAGGAGGACAAGAGTCGATGTTCCAAACAAAGTAAAACTCCTTATTATCCCTTCCTTCATACAATGACGATAATGAAGGCTGGTTGGTCAATCCGTGACGTTGTCGACTGCAGTTGATAGACAACAAGACGATGCATGAAGACTCACGGATTCTTTGTGAGTCCATGAGTTCTGTTCCAGAGGTTGACTTCTCTCGACCCTTCGAACCCCGGAAATGCCAATCTTGGTCTTTGGAAAACGAGAACTGCTGCACAGTGGCTTGGTTCGTTAGGGTACTGCAGATTCGTTAGGAGGTTTGGTGAGACAAAGTCTTTGCTTGGTTTGACAAGGATGGGAGATGTTTGGAGATGAATACTCCAAAAGAATATACTCTTTTGCTGCTGGCACATGTTTGTCCTGTCAGTAGATGTTCTCTCCTTTCCACTTAGTAAGCCAACAACAGCTTTCTGTTGGGAAGACGACTCTGCCCGGTCGTACCGTGCCCGCTGGAGCCGTGTGGTTCCTCATCATTTCGCTGGGAGGTGGCATCCTTGCACCATGCTCCGGTGCCTGGGCACGGACAGACGTTGAAGCTCTCTTTTCAGGCACCGGAGATTCGTGGCAGACCGGTCGCAGCGTTCGTAGGATCGGGAGACAACGCGAGCGGCGTTGAAATGGACGGTCCCAGGCGGCGGGAGGGATGGAAGGATGTTTGGTTTCGTGTTTGAGATGCACTCGATACAGAAGGCTTCCCTTAGTCCAACCAACAAGAATAAACAAATATCAAGACAACCAATTTCCCTGCATCTTCACAGCAAGCAAAGCTGAATAGTTGTAGTAGTAGCTCTCCGATGCAATATTCCATCATATTCCTACCCCCAGGTTTTGGCATGCGTCTTGACTCTCATGTGTCATGCCCTCTGATCCAGTCATGATTGGGTCCCACGTGATCTACCTCCCGGGGCTCACTGCCGCACTGCCCAGCTCTCGGTGGCAGGTGGGAGATCGAGCCGCCGCCGAAGCTGGGCTGAGGGATGTCAGGGATGGCAAGTGAGGAGGGTAGACCACATGCAGCAGTTCGTATATATATATATATAACAATTACCTACAAAGACTCAAGACAGTCGCTCTGAGGAGCTGTATGATCTTGTATGATGGGTCGTTTCTTTGGACGGGGAGGCACATGTGCCAATGAGTGCATAGCAGCGCCATCTACCCCATGTACCACTGACCACTTCGGATTCTGTGCTGCGCCCGGCGAACACGCGTCGAACACGGGCGAAAGCGAGCTCCGCCTGCGCCAAGGATCTCGGGTCCAGCTCGGGCTTCTTGGAGCTCCGAGCTCGAGGCCTCCGTCAAGCCAGTGATGAATCCAACAGTTGACCAGTGAAGAAGTGTGGTTTCTTGGGAGATGACTGATAAACATAGGACTTCATAGGACTTCAATTGGGAAGATGCTTGGTTGATTTGGGTTGGCTGATGAATTGAATTCTGCCCTGAAGAGTTCGTCCTGGCAAGGTGCTTCAAGTGCTGAGGGACCGGCCGGGGCCCTTGGTGGTCAAGGTGCTGCATCATGTGACTCTTGATGGCCAAACTGATAAACAAAGTACAGTAGTCAACTCGATTTCGGAGCACAGCCCTGCCATGCAAGAGCAACAGCATTGCTGTGTGATCTCTTCGTCCAACCAACTAAACCGCTCTATTTGGCTGTTGGTGTCTACTGCGCCGGTGGGCTCTGGATAATCCAGCGCGAAAGACACTCACCCAGGCGGCGTATCTCCGATGTGACCTGGGTGATCCAGAGGAGCGGAGACGCAAAAGAACCCAGCAGACATCAGCAGACCATGCCCATACTGTACAAGAACATACAAAAAAATGTCACAACATGGAACAAGGGATGCTATGGTTTTTCTGACTATGCGCTTGGTATATGCTAGGTGAAGAAAGGATTCTTCACCCATCAATGTTCCAACCAGATGCGGGATGTTTCTGAATGGTGTCTTGTCAACGGAACATGAAGGTGTTTATCCTTTGGATATCTTGGGCCCAACCCTGGAAGAGTAGATGGAACATGAAGACATCAGTGCACTCAAAACATCCCAGTTCCGGTGACCCGGTCGTGATCCCAAGTGGCTACGCGTGTCTTTTTTTTGCAACTGTCCATTCAAGAATTCAAAAAGGGTATTCGGAAGGAGAGCAACGTTTTTTGATCCCTGCAACTTGTGCTTGGGGTGATTTGGGGTGTGTCACCTGGTTCTAACGTTTGGCACAGGTGTCGTACACAGACACAACCGCCCAAATCCAGTCTTGTGGCCTGGGCTGGCAGGTGTCCCGCTGGGAGAGGCCAAAGTCCCAATTTTGGAAGCAGACGCAATTTGTATTGCATCGTTTCCATCCGAATCTCTTTGCTTTAAGCGGTTGGTAACTTCATGTAACACCTAAAGAACCGGGAAATACCGTCCTGAGTTTAGAGGTCACAAGTCTGGCTGCACTTGGTGACTCACGAGCCGTGCCCATTTCACCTGTGTTCTCTCTTGTTCGTTCGTTTTGCATGCCAGGAGTCTGATTGGCGCCAGGATGGGGATCTTTGGTTTCGGCCAGGAGCCTGGAGCCTCATGCAGAGCCCGTCAGGAGCTCAGCTGTGCAGCCCGTGAGGGAAGGGGATTCCACACACAGATGGCCTTTTACATCCTGTTATTGTTCGTTGGCTGATGAATAGAGGTGACACCCTCTATTATTCCCAAGGGCGGACGTCGGGTTTGGGTGAAATGGATACACCGAATTGGAGTGGCCCCAAGCCAGACTAAATTTCATTGGCATGAGCGCTGTCACAGGTGAAGCTCAGCCTTTGCGTATTTGGAATAATGATGATCATAACCAGGGTTGGGTGGTTTATTTTGTGGAATCCTTACTGAATCTCCATGTTCGATCTGGAAAGAATGGCATGTGATTTCATGATGATACAGATCCAGTGCATGTTTTTCGCTCAGGAGTGCAGCGCTCACGTTGTCGCTGCAGAAGTGCAACGTCTCTGGTGCCTTCTTTGCACGGCCACTTGCCTGTCTTTGAGCCCGGAGCAAGAGTTCAGTCGGAACGCCTTTTTTGAGGTCCTTTTCTGACAGATATGGGGTGAATAGACACATCGGGGTATGACACATCGGGTATGTGGAATTCTGCCTTCAGTCTGCGACATCGGAAGGCTCGGGAGATCGGTCCAAGCAGCAAAGCTTGGAGGGTCTTCAAAGAGACCTGGGGGCTGCTATAGTCGAGCTAGCTAACCAGAGAAATACAGCTGCATTTCCAGAACCCCCCGGGTCCTGCGGTCCCGGTAAGCATCCAGTGATATCCAGTGCATCTACCATCCTTCAACTGGTCTTTGAGAAGTGCAGGATGGACGGTCGTAATCGGGCGTTTTGTAGTTCGAGGTTCGAGATCACCGGCATCCAGCCGGGCCTGGTCTCCATAACCGTGCAGGCAGGTTGGAGAAGATGTTTGACTCTTGATGGAGAACATCCCGTCCATCAACCGCACATGTTGGGCAAAAGTCGAGCGATAAACGGCCTTCTGTATGGGGACACGTGGGCGAGGTCGATTCTTGACCAATCCATCGGACGTGTGGGCCGACCAAGTCATGCAAACCTGGAGGCCACAGATGTTGATGGGAAGACTATTGTAACAGACAGGTCCTGCCGTCCTCCTGTCATGTCCAAATCTCCGATCCAAGCGAGTGCCACTCCCAGCTGTGGGCTGGTCGGACCGCTTTCGACAGCAGAGCAGGCCGATCTGGTAGCTCCTTCCTCAGGGAGTATGCCTTCACCTTCGGCTCCCGTCTGCTGGCCTTAGATGAAAAAAGGTCAGTTCGGAAATGGAAGAATGCTGCCAGCGTTTTGGCTCTACCTGGAGTGGAATCATGTGGAACCCAACCACAAGAAAGAAAAGCGACAAGTGGAACCCAGCTGACCCAGGGACCCGGGAATCATTTTAGACTGGGCTAAGCGAGCTTGGACTTAGCACTTCGATGCACTTCGAAGATCTCAAAAGAAGTGGGAGGGGCAAACGACTGCAGGACGAGGCATGCTGGCACCATGTTCCTGACCAGAGATACGCAGGAGGTTTGTTTGTCTCATGTATATATAATAATATATATTACAATATAGTATCCCGGGGAGTCAAAGACTATAAAAAGAATGGTCTTTAGGGGAACTGAAAGGGAACTTCCTTTACTCCAGCCGGTCAAAATATGGTCTTTGGACTTCTAGGGGTACAATATAACATAAGATATATATATATATATCCGGTCTTTGAGAAAGCTTCATCCTTGCCACCCAGCAAACATCCAAATCCTGGGTGTGGGTCACCCAGGCGAGATAGGAATCCACCGCTTGAGATATCTTGAGGTACTTTTTGATGTATGTAATGTAATGTAATATGCAATATGTAATAATATATGTTATGTTGTGTTATGTTATGTTATGTTAGTATGTATGTAATGTAATATAATGTGATGTGATGTGATGTAATGCAATGGAATGGAATGAAATGTAATGGTATGTAATGGTATGTAATGTAATGTAATGTAATATAATGTAATGTAATGTAATGTAATAATGTATGTATGCCTACAATAACTGAAAACTCAAGAGAGGTCCTCTTAATCATCTGATGAAACTGACAAAGCATGACAAACATACCCCGTGCTTCTCCATGCCAGATCACAGTACCATCCCTCTTTTCACTCTTCTTTGAGATGCTGCTCCACGGTTCGGTGCGTTGATCACGAAGCTGGAGCCGAGGCACGTTGGGATGTGGCATTGCTGGATTCCGGTGGCCACATCGTGGACATGTCCGGGCCATAGGTCTTTTTACGCTGAAAGACACCTGGGCAGTCTTTGTCTTCAGCAGAAAGTGAGTGTGTTTTTTGCAAGAAGATGTTCAAATCTCTTTGTTTGGGAAGCTTTGTGATCCGTCATGACTTGCATATCAGTTGGAGAGCGCAAGGCAATGGTTGTTCTCACCTCCACAGAACTAAGTCCATTTCTCGGCTGTGGGTTTAGGGTTGTGGGTTACCAGGTGTCAAGAGCTGCCTCGTTTGTTCTTGTGTACTCCCTGCATACCCGCCAAGTGTTCGCCACTTCCGTTGTGGACCAAAGCGGGTCACGGTCGGGGTTCCGTGGCGGAAATGGGGGTTCTTTCTACTCAACGCCGTGGCCAGGAATCCAGGCTTGTCAACGGAGAATTGGTGGAGTCAAGAATGGTCCTTGCGACCGCTGCTGTTGTCTTGGGAAGGCCAGTCGCGCGTGGCGGGGTGCGTGGCGCTGGCTTCAGCCACCTGTATGACTGCTATTGGAATGTGCTGAAACTGTACAGAGCTTGACTTGCAAAGCATGTGAGTACACTCATATGTAACATGTTTAGAGATCACGATCACAAGAACTCGGTCTTTTCTGGGGCTTCTCGTCAGACGGAAAACACGTGAAAACACCAGATCCTTATGTGCACATGGACACAGGTACCGGTACATGCAAACACATCCCCGATGGAATTTCCACTAGGGTGTTGAATAGCATGGTGAATTCACACGATGCAAGAACAGTTCTTTTGAACAGACGAGTCGCGTGGCTTCTCCACCGATTTCTGCGCCGACGAGTCGCACGAGTCCGTCGCAGGTGTGAGCCATCCGGCGACACAGGCGGACCGGCGCGCCGCGGAGCGGCACCGGTGCGGCCGCGGAGCGGTGCGGCCCTGGGCCATTTGGAAAGCTATTTGGAGAGCCACACAGTTGAGTAGTTACATGTAGTTACACAACGTTCCGCGTTGTTTGATCACATCAATTAGTAGACACAGTGATGGACAAATTAAGAGTTGATAGGGAAGATTGGTGGATTCCAGTAACTGCAAGGTGCACAGACACTCAAAGGTTGATGTTGCGGAGCGCCAAACGGTTGTGACCTCGACTCCTGGACGTTGAAGGTTTCACTGCAGACAGCGCGCAGGGTGGTTCTTTGGGTGATGCGAGCATCGAAGCATCGATGTGTGCCTGCAAGAAACCTTAAGGATCTTAAAGACAGAACCACAATGACTCAATATTTGTCAGAGCTCCAACCAACAATGGAACAGAGTAGTAGTGTAGTCTCAACAAGAATCACAATAGGTTGATTAGATTGGGGCCCTCGTTTTCTCACCGGATCCCGTTTCATCCACGACCTCATTAAGGAATCCCACCTCAAAAACTTCAACCTGCTCTTGGGATGCCTCGACCGGCGAAGCCACCGGACCGTCCTGCCAGATCGCGGTCTCCGTGATCTTCCAAAGTCGACGTGGGGACGCACCCGCGATGCTTGGGATGATGAGGGAGTGAGACCGTTGTCCGGAAGATGCAACAAAACAAGTTGGTGATAGTGATATGGATTTCCATACATTATACATAAATAACTAGAGTGTTGATGTGCATGAACATCCGTTTCCATTGTTGTCACAAGAGCAAGTGGGAAAGTTGTGGTTAAAGTGGGTTTGTTCCATGAAGTGAACCCAGAAATCAGCCCACACTATTGCATGAAGGGGCTTGGAGATCATAAGTGCCTACCATGAATCATACAGTGTTGTTTGAGTATGTCCTTGTGGTGTTGCAGGAATTCCAAATTGACTTGAAACCTTCAGCGTTCTCCAAGCCATTGAACTCCTAAGGATTGGGGATTGGATGACTCATACCAATGCTCAAACATACACCTTCATGTGAATACAAAAAACTCGTTGATCTGGGAGCCACCCAGATCTCAGAATTGAATGCTTGACAACTGTCAACAGGCTTGGAAAATTTCAGCTGGAATATGCCTTTCCTCAAGCCAAATAGTCCGATTTGTCTACTGTAATTGTTTTTTTTTCTTTTCTCCGGGCTGATCCTCAAGTAAATCACTCCTTGCAGGCTTCAGCACGCCCCAGGACGGTTTGGTGTTTCTTTCGACACCTAAGGATGCTGTGCTTGTATCCACCGTCTGACTTCGCTGAAGGAGAGCTTGCCTGCCTTTCTGTGTGTCCAGTGAATCTCCATGGACTGTGGGAAGGGCTACCAAACCTGCAAATGCTTGTTTCAAAGACTTGGGCCGCATGTGATCACCTTCGCCAAGAAACCATGCAAGGCATAATGGATTCCATTGGACTCCGAGTTTGTTCCATTGACTGAGAACATGTACAATAAAGTGTTTGCAAGAGTTTGACAGGTTCCTTGTGAAGCATCATCAAATAAGGGGTGTCTCAAAATTAAGTGCTGAGGACTGGGAAAGCTAGAGAAATATCCTGTAAACAGTGTCTTGGGTAGGAGAGACAGTTGACGAATGTGGCAAAGACTCTGGAGGATTTTTTGCAAAGGCCTTGCCACCGAGCTTCATTGTTGAGAATGTTGGGATGAACAGGTTCGCCTAAGAAACGCACTTTTTTATACGTTTTTAACATTTGGGCTCGCATTGCAACAACACGGACAATGGCCAACCTCCGTTAATGTCAGTGCAAGAAATACCTGCTTCACGGTGGTAGAAACCATACAACAGAGCTTCCATGGTTTGCAAGGGATGACAATAACATGAACTCCTGGGCCGTTTCCACTTGACTCATTTCCTGCATCAGGAGCACCGGCAGATGCTGGATTTTCCATGTCAATTGGCCAAGGTGATTTGCTGCTCCTAGATGGCACTAGTCGGGGAGCCTCATGTAGAAGCAGATAGCCTCTCAATAAATAATTACCACTATTGATTCACTGCCTCATAAAGGCATCTGCCCATTTGAGTCATTGAGGCTGCGATTGAGGCTGCAGGGAGTCTCGCACGAAGCACAACATCTGATTGAAGACACTAAAGCATGGAACCTTGAGCCTTGCTGTTCACCACAATCATGGTAATTCCTTGAGAATTTTGGAGACAGAGAAGCTGCTTATGACGGAACATGTGATGTCCATGTCCATGTCCAAAGCTTCGGACAGGTCATGCACCGTGCCCACTCCGTGCCCAACCCATGTCTCTTTTTGTCCCACCCTCGTCTCGAGCAGACCGGAGATCACTGGAGACTTCCAGAGGTTATGCACTGAGCCATTGACACTCCCTGGAAGTAATCATGGTTACGTGGATGGCATGGCCCCTGAACCCGTTTTCCTTTGCAAACCGGTGGGTTTCAACTTCCATGATTATTCCAGGCAGTGTAGCATTTTCACGGCTGGTAACACGTACACTGACGACCCTGACCATGGCTCGATAGTCAGACTGGACTTCCAGACAGCCTCATTTGATCCCAAAGGCTAGATGAGCTAAGCCAAGCTAATAAAAATGAACGTGACAGGTAGGCTGGAATTGGTCCTGCAATCTCACAATGCAGCTCTTTCTCGAACAAACAATGAGACACGCCACATCCTCGTCACCTTCAGCAAAGATCTTGAGTGTGAAGGCATGTAGCTGTACTGCATCCATCTACATCCCCGCAAATACTATATATCCAGATCATAGGGGATTGAGGATCTTTTTCAGCCAATCTTTGGAAAGTGCACGGTATCCGGCGCTGTATCCGGCGCAACCAGCCGCTGCGCGGGTGCACCCAGGTCAGATCGCTTGCGTTTGGTGCCAAGCTGGCCCTGGGTGGTCCAGGCTGATGCCCCTCGGCGGCACAGGCAGCTAGCGGTGTGAGCAGCTCCGTGAGCTTCGGCGCGGGAAATGGGGCGCTGATGAGTCATGAGACGACGCATGAGGAGGGTCCTTTGAATGTGCAAGATCTGAACCTTTGACCCCCAGTTGTGAGTTGGTCTTAAGGATTTGGAGAGTGCCTGATGAGCCTTTTCCAAGGTGTTCTTCACGATCCAAACATGAATCCTCCAGCATCAGCCGATTGCTTTTCAGGTGGAGGGTTTGCCCTTTTGAAACATCTGGTAAATCTGGTAATTACAAATAAATCAATGCGTGAAGAAGTGTTTGGTAGACCATGATGACCGACTTCTTCAAAGCATCCATGCCGATGGAAGAGCCTTCCAAGATCCGGAAGATTTCCCCTCCAAATCGACGCCCCTCCCTCAGGTTCGCCGGAAACGGCGACTCTGCCTGGCCATGGCTGGAAACGTCACAGAGATGGCGCCGAATGTGCAGATGTCCTTCACGGTTCCTTGGCTTAGTTTGAGGCTTAGGCTAGTATTCTAGTAGGCCGGAGGCAAGGTTTTACTTTTGGTGAAGGACACCTTGGATCTTTTGACAGCTGAAGATCTTTCGACATCCAATATTACAAGGGGGAAGGTATGCCACAAACCGAGGTCAGTTGACGTACTCACCACTTACCTTACCTACGCTCCTGTGCTAGGTCATATGCTTGCTGTAGGTAATTGTTTCTTCAAATATGGCCAACAAGGAGGTGGACCAGAACAAACCGGATCAATACCTAAATCATCCTAAATCCGTTTTGAGCAAATCCGTATATAAAACATGTTAAAGCCCACTCGGGTGATCCTCACCCCTTCGGAAACAACGTTGTTTTCCCCACCGCTGGATGGAGGTCCTGGTCGCCTTGCCGGAAACGGCCAAGTGGCCAGCCGGGATCTTGGGCCCATGGGTTCGGTGTTCCTGGTGGTTTTGACCTCCAAAGCCTCTGAACGAAAGATCAAGGCAAACCTGCAAAGAGCATGATGTGTGTTTCGGACTTGCACATTTTGCGGGTCAAGATGGGTCAAGGAGTTTGGGGAGACCGAACAGCTGCGTGTGGTTGCTGACTTCGACGGTTTCCGCCAATGGGAAGCCGTTTGTTTGAGTTTTCATGAATAAAGATAGAACCTCACGAGGCGGATAAGTTGAAGGCTTGCTTGAACCCAGAAACTGTTTTCCGACTTTCTTCGTTAAATGGAGAGCATGAGCCTTTGCGGGAAGCCGTGAGAATATGTGAGAATCTTACAATATGTTACTTGCATGAGCTTCAGTATGAGCTTCACATATATACATGTTCTCATGTTCTCCCCAAGGGCAAGAGCTGTAGTACGCTGACCGATGAAGTGCAAGCCGACTGACTCGTTGCTTCTTTGGTGGCCCAAGATGGTCGACAGGTCGCGCGACGAGGCGCACGAATGACCCGCACGAATGGCTTTTTTTCCCCACTGAAGTCACGTCCATAAACAGTAGAGTAGGGGAGTGAATCTTCTGACAGGTTTGATGTTCCACTTTGTAAGCCTGTGGATGAGAAGGGCCATACCGTATGCCTGCTAAATATCCGAGAAGGGCTTGAGATTTAATCAGGTGCTTCTACTTGTACAAGTGCTGCCTTATGTTGCGTTGCTATCGCCCCACTTAGGTTCATCACGTTTGGTCGTTGACGCTTTGCCGCAGTGCCTGCACAGGCAACCTCAGTCAGGCGCCATGGTCCAAAGTGGGATCCAATTCTGTCAGCGGTACTGTAAAGTTTTTAAATACAAACATGATGCCCAGAACTGAACAGCTATGATGATACTTGGGACTTCGCGCGACCATTGGGATTTGTTGGACAGCGACACCAATCACGCTGGACCAGTGAAGAACTGGTCATTCCAGACATCCCATCGGTCATGCGAGTTTCCGACCTAAACAGGCAGAACAATGTCATGATACGAGTCACGAGTAATGATATATGCTGATATATGTGTTTGGTCAGTGTTTGGGTTAGATGAATCAGGAATAACCTGGAGGAGTAAGTGTTGACACCCAACATCGTTGTTTTCCTCCAGATCATCCTGTTCTCACCTATAACATCCTATAACACTTTCAGCACAGCTGAGTCCTGTCACCAAATGGTCAAACCGATCAATTTTGTTTTTGCATCCGGAAAACACAGCTATCTCCTCGGCAGGAGATCAGCTTCAATTTGCTGGGCTTTTTGGAGGGAGAGGCGATGAAACTTGATGAAACCCGACCGGGGCAGGATGAAACCCATCAAAGCGATGGCCTCCAAAGCCTCACGCCCACCTCTCAAGCTGGGCAAATCCGGACCCAACCGCACGATGGACGACATCCGTCGCGAAAATCGACGACTTCCTGACCCAACTCTGGAGTACACCTGTGCCATCATGTGCCATGGGCTTGGAGACTGGGAGGTGAACGTCTTTGGGGTCTTGGGCACAGCGATGGAACACCGTTCTTCTTTTGGAAGAACAGTGGGAGAGCACTCAACACCGTCTCGTGGTCAATTACGAGTTTGCGTTGGCCGTTGTTGGTTGTCAACCGGAAAATGCACATGGCCGCACTTGCACATGCCAAGCACATCCAAGCACTTTAAATTTGTGGGATTTCAAAGTTGATTCGGTTTTCCAGGAGGTACTTCTGTGGAACCTGCTGTTCTTTGATTGATTTGTTGGGTTGTGTTGGGTTTGAAAGCGAGCTTACCAGCCCATATGACTTACAGTGGCGACTCAGTCACTGCTCTGATGGGTCACCACTGAGAGACAGTGGGCCCAACCAGAACCGGTCGGATGTCCTCGACTGGCGCGTCCGTGCGTCCGGACTCCGAGCGAAGGAAGCGGAGCGACGATGAGACTTGAATGAGACTATCAACAGACAGCAGGTTCAATCCAGGAATCATCTGGAATAATCATCATATAGATCATAATAGACTAACTGACAGATACTGAATACTATACTCTCAGCAGGTTTGGCCTGCTAGCACGATCATTGAATTGGTTGTTGCAACAGTACTGCTGTAGGCTTGAACCTCTTCAGATTCCTCCTGCGTGAATTTGATCAATCGACTGTTGGAGCCCGCAAGGGGATCCTGACAGCCTTCATGGCAAAGATCTTGGAAACAATTAGATCCTCACTTTTGCCGCTTAGGACACTTGACGTATCTTGACGTCGCCCTTTTTCTTCCCCTTGGTCCCTCTGGGTAAATGCAAGAACAGGCTGGTGTCCCAGCTGAGTTCTCCCCCCTCAAAAAATGCCGTGCCAGCTTCCGCCTGTAAAGCTTTGCGGTCGGGAGGCGCATCCTGGATGGCAATCCACGGAGACCAACGGGGTGGAGCGTGCTCGGCAGTGCTCCGCATGGCTTGGCCTCATGAGCCTAGCGGCGCTGGGTTTGCGGTGAACAGCGAAGAAGAGGGGCAGCGGCCTGCTGCTCAAAGTCGAACGCCCCAGCAGGCCCCGCCAATATCTAGTAGTTAGATGAATTTATATATATAGAACAATATAGAACATAATACTGTATGTGATTACAATATTTGCAACCTTGGGCATTGGCTGTGCATCGATTGGTTGATGCGGCTCCTGATTACTACAAACTCCAAGCAGCATTGTACATAGAGGGCAGGCTAGCCCCGTCCAAAAATCGGATGGGCCTAGAGTGTCCAAAGCTGAAACCACAACTAACCAAGCGATACCAAGCTGTGATTTCGGCTTTGAAAGCCAAAGCATCAAAGCCGAGCAAAGATCTCGAATGAGCCAGAGGCCAGAAGAATAGAATGCCCTCAGGATTGAATCATGAGCCTTGAGCCTCAAGTTGTAGGTGGAAAGCAGTCTTCAAATCCAAATCTTGTATGTTGAGCTGGCTTGCCTCATGCGTTGCCTCTTGTATGTCTCCATGTCCGATCCCCGCAGATTTTAGCTTTTTCTCGAGCTGCATGTGGCACGTTCGAGAGCTTTGGACGGTTCTGCCGTGGCCTCAGACAAACTGTTTTGGTGCAGCTTTCGTTTGGCAAAGCAATTGTTTCCATGTGCGGACAATGGCCAAGGGAGTTCGCATGGTTTCACTTCCACGTGCTGGTACATCACAAAATCATTAACAATAGTCATTATATGATATAATGTATAGCAATCATGTTATACATCAACCACCCCAACATTCCAGCAAGCGGGGGGCGTTTGTTTGTTCGGGCAAACCGAAAAGGAACCTTGATGACGGCACTGTACCTGCAGTTGCGATGATGGCACTGGACCTGTTGTCCACTCTGGTTGGTTGGTTGCGGTTGGTTGGTTCGTTAGCCAAGTTATAAAGGAAGGCCCCCCGAATGGAGAGTTTCATCCTTTCTCTGAAGCAAACACTCGTTTGGGGGAAATTCATCCATTTTGATCTTTTCACCGCTTGCCCATTGATCCGACCGTGTCACCGGGGTCACTCCACGCCCTTGCTCACCGCCAGCGCTTGCTCAGTGCTCGGCCCGGAGGTTTGAGGCCGGCCATGTCCTCGACTGGTAAATCGAAGCGCAACCAGCGAGAGAGCAACTTAGCAGAGCCTCGGCAGAGGAGCTGGACACAGAGCGAAAGGGGGAAAGGGAAGAATAAGTTGCCATCATTATTAGTAGCAGCAGTAGTCAGTAGTACTGGTAGCACGGTGGCATAGGAGTCCTGGTGGTAGGGCCTGGCAGTTGGTGCATATCAGCAACATGCTAGAACGCAGCAACAATGAAGCATGTTCCACTGTCCCGGCTTCCACTCCACTGCTTTGGACTCAAATTCGCTTGCTTGTGGAAGAGCACCGTGGCAGAGCAAATTTACCGGCATTCACAGTAGGCAACCGATACGTTGGGCAATTGAGGAGGGAACTGGGCTAATATTTCAGTCAATGATGTACCAAGCTACGCAAGCTATGTCACGTGATGCGCACAAACTCGAGTCGCAGGACCGCATGTGTAAATCATGTATATGACATCCTTTGATCGATTTCAAGTCCAGCCACTGAGGAAAAATACCAAACTGAGGGGCCCTTCACCACGGCCTCTTGGCGGTGTCTTTTGGGACCCAGTAAGCGACAAGAACCTGTTGCCTGGTTGGTTGAAGTGACCCGGAAATGTTGGCAGTTTTTGCATGGGTAGATTGGGTTTGTATGATTTTTTTCTCACCAACAAAGCTGGAGATGGATATCGACCCACTTCCAGAGGGAAGAAAAGAGGGAAGCGGTGTTAATGCATGGTTGTTGAGTTGAAACCTGCCAAATAATTGCATAAATTGTGTTTGTTCTAATATACCATGGTTTGGGGATAGCTATTGGTTGACCTTGTTTGCAATGACACTGGCAGGAGCAACATCGAATGTATCACAGATGCTGGTTATCCTAGTCGATTTTCAGGATTCCTTTGAGCTTGAGCCTGAGATCATGAGGACATCCTTTCATGACAGACCCATACTCTCCTCTCTCCCAGGTTTTGACTCATCAGATTTTGCTTGGTTGTTCTGATGCATTCAACATCAGTCAATCATTCCGTTTGAGCTTCTACGGTGCTGAACCTTTGGACCTTTCATCCACCAAGTGGACCGGACCCTTCCTGTTTCGGAGCTGAACACCTCGATTGAACCCGTGCTCTTTGGTCCTCCAGGCAGGCAGAACTTTTAGAGGGATTTGAAGGTCCATGAGGTCACTTAATGCCCAAAGAGCCTGAAAAATAAAGTTAAAAAGTCACTTAATTAGGGACTACCAAGAGTTGAAGGATGTGACCTGGCAGTTGCCGTGGCATCCGTCCCAAAAGGTCTGTGTTCACTCCGTCCGGGACTCCACCGGGCTCGGTGCTTCGATCCCTCCCTGCTGTCCCCCCGTGGATCCGGACGCCGTTTGGAACGAGATGTGTCGTGGTCCAAACAGGTGATGATCCGGAACATCCCGACGGAATACACGCAGGATGAGTTGATTGTTGAGGTCAGTGAGGCGCAGGAAGTAGATGGGAAGCAGAAGATGTGGTCAGTGGTAAGTGGTCAGTGTTCCTTTTCTTCCCAGACATTTGGATCAACGGTCATGATCATTGTGGTGATTGGCCGAAGATCTGGAGATTTGCTGCTGGGACTTGAATACCACACGGCATCACACGGCCCTTTTTGATTCTGGATACGGGTAGTGTGGGTTTGCATGATTTGAAGTATATGAAATATGTTGTTTACTACTGAAACTAGGGGGACCCCCGAGCCAGACCCTCGGGAAGAGGTTGAATGATCTCCCATTATTGCACACTCATATGGCTGTGGGTCAAAAACCCATAGCCCTGGTTGACCCATGAAAATGAACGGAGTCTTTTTGACGGGATGTCAACCGAACCCATGGTTTGGTGAAGGCGAGGTTTTGACCCAGATCCATTATATAGAAAAGTTTTTGTTGGCTGTCCCAAATTAGATGCTCTTCCACACTCATGTAGGTTTGCAATGATGGGACCACCATCCACTGGGTGTTCTATTGTGTCTTTGAACATCTTCTAAGTAGGTATGGGTCTCGGTCTGCAACAACAACATTCATGTAACATCCATATTGGGACTGCGCATCACTACACATCACCGCGAAATCAGAAAGCTCTCGCCGAAGGTGATGGGATCGGCGCAGTCCTTCGATTTCTTCTACTTGCACAAACCTGAGTTGATGCAATTGAAGAAGTGCTCTCCCAGCGCTACACTGGCGATCATGGAATGAAATATCCAGCATCATCCAACATGCAGGGCTGGACAATAAGTGCGGAACAGGCGTTCCACTTCGGATGGCCTAAGTAGTATTCACACCCTAAGGCCTCCAGCAAGAACACATTCAAGCTCGATCACTTTGAACAAAACCGTCCAAATGACCCATGTTTCACAAACCACCCATGTTGGCAGGCCACCGGGTTGATGTTGGCGGGTTGCAAGCGTTCTCCAAGGCCCTGGGACACACAAAATGATTGCAACATTGGCGGAAGCCCCAGTGGGACACAAACCGAACGAGTTTTCACGGAGATAGGATGAGATCGGATGAGGCCTTGGTGCGTCGCTGTGGCAGGAAAGTGCGTTGGGAAGTATATCCCGAAAAGATCTACAATTGTGTTTGCATGGAAGATCCATTTGCCCCGAGAAAAAGGTTCTTTTTTGTTTCCCTTGCTGGTAGGGATAGTTGATTGCAGAGGGATGTTTCATTGCAGACGGTTGCACAGTGTTTCTATTTTGTTGGATGAGAGAACCTCCCACGAGTGTACTCTCAGGAGCCACTAATTCATCAAGTGTGGATTTCTATCTCAGGCCTGAATCTCCTTAAACTTGAAACAATGATCTTCACAAATCATCCGGAAGCAGTGACCTGCTTTGCCCTTGGGCACCTGCATCTCATGCAATGGCCATGCGGACCCTGCTCCACTCCATGGCCTTCTTCCATCGCGCCTCGGCCGTCGCTGTCTCCCCACCCGTGCGATCCCCGGAAGCGAAGAAGAACGCCGCTCGAAGCGCCGCGTTGCGCCCGCAGGTTACGTCTTTGTGAACTTCCCAGATCCTGGAGCAGCACAAAGTGCTGCCCGAGCCCCGGGTGGGGGTGCCGGGGAGGACCAAGTGCCCAAGTAAGGCTAAGTAAGGGACCAAGTGCTCAGGTGAGGTGAGACCAAATCACTCCGAAAATGACAGAACATGTGTCAAATCTTACTGTATAATCATCATCAAATGTACACTTAACATCATGTATTATATAGTATATTAAATGATGTTGATGTCTATAAGCTTCACACCTTTTAGCCTGTATGCTTTTCTGGTTGATATTCCACCCATCTCGCACCGGTCACCCTAGACTGCGCCGGTCTGAAAACTGGGAGACTGCACTGCACCGGTCACCCTCGCCAGCTGTACCACCGCTGTACGGCCGAGGTTCGGGCGTTTTCCAATTACAACTTCCGGCTTCACGATAGCAAGAAGGTGGGGAACTGCACACCGCTCGGTCAGCGGTGTGCAGTGTGTGCGGTGTGTGCGGGAAAAGGTCGAAAGACGGGTTTCAAATGGATCGAGCCGGGCCGTGTACCAGGGGCATTTGGAGAATTAGAGGAGCTCAAAAGGCACAGGAGAGTTGTGGAGAGCTTCTGAGCAGAACTTGTGCACACTTGATTCACTGTCAATAGTTGGACGAACTGAGCCTATGCTGCCTAGGCTTTAAATTGAAGTTATCTTTGGCCAAGTGGCAAGTGACTCCAAGTGACGAGTGCTTGCCTTATAGAGAAAGTCAGTATCATATTCCAAGAGCCACCTGGGTGCGTTGAACTACATGGAGGATCACCCTTTTGAGCACAAGAATCAATAATATACTCGAGCTGTGTTTCTGTGTACGGATGTCCAGTGACACTGGACTGTTATCTTACACCCACGCAACGTGGCTCTTCGTTCGCTACTCCAAATGCCACCAAACGTCACGAAGCGTCCCTTTTTCTCGCACAGGTCGGCAAGGTCTCGCCGGCG